CAACCTAAAATTCTATGTTTTCTCTCTCCTGCCCAGCTGATGAGGGGAGTGACAGAGTTACTTTGGTGGCCACCTGGCATCAAGACAAAAGTAGATACTTTAACCAAGATTTTAAAGGACAACAAATCAACAAAGCAGTGAGTTGTAAAGACTAACTTACAAAAGGAAGAAACTCTTCTACCAGCAAAAGCCACATGGTATCTAGTGAGGACACCAGACCTCAGTGAGCACAGGAAGTAACAAATTGAGAACTGAGAGAATCACATATCATAGGTATGGCAATTTTGAATGGAACCTGACTTTTTTAGATCTAGTTTTATTAGAAAATGGATGGATTATTAAAAAAAAAAAAAAAAGAAAAATATATAAAAGTTATGTCAAGGAATAATGCTACAGAAATACTTCTCTAAGAACACTTAGTGTGAATTAAACTATTATGGCAAAACCCAAACCCCACCCCTTAACTAATTTATCTGCTCCTGGAGATTGTATTTCAAGGAGGGGTTTGAGTGTCTTCAGATGGCAATCTGGGTGAAAGCAGGTTCAATGTGTAGCACCAGATTTCTCTTCTACCGTTTAAATGACAAGTATGAAATTATCATTAAGCTGTCAAATCTATTACCTTATCTCAATGTAATATTAATAAAAATTATATTGTTCATCACCAAACAAGTTTTCTTTTTGCTCATGAAAATAGCTCATTTTGTCTTGGTCATTTAGCTTTCTATTCATAAGACTACACTGCTGTATGCTATCTGTATAGCTATTCATATTTTCTAAACTAATTTTCCTAGTATTACTTTATTCTATCAGTAATGATCATATACTGCACTGTTTTAGGCTAAATATTACACTTAATCTATTCCTCTTTAGTTCTGAGTACTAGTAAAATCTGCAAGGATTATTTGAAGCATAATAAGCACTATTTCCATCTTTGGTTACTGATGTTAGTATATACTGATCACTCTCCTTTAATGCTTGAACACTTCCACAATACTATTTGGGACTTTCAAGTCAGTTCTCCTGTTCCAATACCCCCACCATTTTCAAGAGACAGGCAGGGAATGAAAGAGGAAACATATTTGCTCTCACGAAACATTAAAATTCTGCAAATCTGTGCTATTGCAATGGGCTGCTTTGTCACAGGGTTTCCTTGCACATTGGCAGAACCCTGGCTTTGCACAGCATCTGGTTGGTCTCCTCCAGCAAACACAACACATGGAGCAAGGGGCATAGCTGGAAGCCTCTTGGACTGTTCACCAATACACTGACATAGATTAAAAAGATTTAATCCCTAACCAATGCAGCAAACAGTAGGACACAATAATAGCAGGTACGTGGGGTAGGTTTTCCTAGCTAACGTTTGACTGGCCTTTAGTCTTGACAGTACTGATCAATGTTTGAACCCTGGTTCACAGATCACACAGCTCTTTTTTTTCTGGCAGAAGTTTATAACTAAGTTTGCAGTGGTTTCCCCTTTCAATAGCTCAAGAGAAATGGAGTGCACCCTCCCAGACCAGCTGGAACATGTGGCTTTGCTAGTGCTCTCTCTTCAGATCCAGCCACTTGTATTCTCTCAGAAACTGGACAGGTATTTCCAAAACAAGAGGCTGCAAATATTAGGGAGCAGGGACAAACAACACCACTGAGAAGCTCTTGCTAGCACGTTGGTAATGCATCATCTTCAGAGAAACATTACACCAAATGTTGTATCAATTGTTACATAGGTTTTCCTTCATCTCTGCAAACAAATAACCTACTGCTTCCACTATCCACTTGTACACAACAAAGCATCATGTATCGGCTTTGAGTTTTAAGCAAACATGGTAAACCAAGCAAGGGATGTACAAAACATGTTATTTTAAGAAGTATAAGAGCAAGCTTCAGTTGTGCAACTCTCAGATGCAAACTTTGTTTTAGGCTTTACCCCTTAGTTGTCTTGCAACACTAATTTCCACAATTTTTGCAGGGGCACAGAGATGATGATAAATGTTGCATCACTGCAAAAAGGGGTGCAATTTTACCCAGCAGTCTGCTGTCTTTATAAGACTGATGTACATCTGAAAGGCTTCCTCAACAACTGCAACTATTATTGGTAAAACTTAATAGCACAGAACAGGCTGGGACAGTCTTATATCAAAATTACTAATATATTTCAATCACAAACAGGTGCCTATTGGAGCTGTTTCACAAACAGGCTATAAAAACTCTGTGGTAGGCACTCAGGATTTTGTGACTGGTGGTAGAATACAGGTTTATATGGACAAGTCATTCATACATTATCTTCACTCCACAGAAAGATAATATTGTGCTGAACCACAATTAAATAGTTAAAACAGCAGGCGCTACAGCTCTTCTAAGAGTGACCTAGAAGCAGGAGAAGAACCCAAACAAGTATCCTCCGCTTCTCTTAATCTTTGCTCTAACTTCAAGTGTAGAACATCTCAGCTACATACTCTGCTTTAGGTAATAAAGGATGTATGACTAGACAAATTTATTTTGTAACATTTAATAATTGCTTTGAGTGCATCATGTATAGTTCACATACGCATATAGGGAATTCTAATCCAACCTTATTATTACAGTCCCCAAGATCTCAACTGGGATAATGAAACTGCTGGTACAAAAGCCTTGATCAACCCCCACAAGTTAACATAAGGATTACTAACAAGAGAAAGAAAAGTATTCAAGCAAGACACCACAAATCATTTTTTATTAGTAGGGAATTTTAGGGAAAGATGTAGGCAATCTGACTAGAAGTATCTCTACAAAAAAAAATTAAAAAGTCACTACAGATATTATAACCCAATAGCAAGCGTGCGTGTTTTCTCCCTCTGGAATGGGCTGAACAGAGTTTATTTTCACACTACATATTCTTAAGAAAAGTTTTTCAGTATTAGATATTTTCCAACAGAAAAATTCTGTCAAAGCTGCTAAAAAGGGAAGGGATCACAAGTGAAGTATGACAAATAAGTGGGATATTGTTTAAACAAAAGGCAGTTCTAGCATTTGACCAAGTTGATCATTTGCCAATGTACCTTGGTCTTGAAATGCAAGAATCACAGAGTCATTTCAGTTGGAAAAGAACCCTAAGATCACTCAGTCCAGCCTCTAACCCAGCACTGCCAAGTCCACTACTAAATCATATCCCTAAATTGCCACAACTGCATATATTTTAAATATCTCCAGAGATGGTGACTCTACCACTTCCCTGAATAACCTGTTCCAACGCTTCCATTTGAGTGAGGAAATTTTTCCTAATATCCAATCTAAACCTCCCCAGCACAGTATGAGGCCATTTCATCTCATTCTGTTACTTTTTATCTGGGAGAAGACCCCAACATCCCCACCTTGCTACAACCTCCTTTCACATAGTTGCAGAGAGCATTAAGATTCCCCCGAACCTCCTTTTCTCCAGGCTAAACAATACCAGCTTCCTCAGCTGCTCCTCATAAGATTGTGCTCTAATAAACTGCCTCAAATAAAATCTGCACTTTACTTATGGAAGGTTCTAGAAGTATGGTGATAATAATAAATATAATCACACAAAGAATGAAACATTCTGGTTTGATTTTGTTGTTGTTAATCCAATTGGTTAGAATTTCTAAACACACAGACATTCACATCCCACAGACCTTAGCTTTCCTTTTCTATAAGAAGAGAGGGAACCAGGAGAAGCTGTCTGACCACATTTCAGAACCCCATCCCACTATAGGCAAATCATAAATTAACATTATGTGAGCAAAGGAGCTGAACTTTTAGCCAAGAGAAGTATTTAGCAGCATAGTAGCAGAACAAAACTGAGGCATTAGTACAAATTTTCTGTGAACTATGATAAAAGACTACTGACCATAGAGAACTAGAGAGTTTGAATAGGAGGAGACATACTGAACACAGAGACCTTTCTCTTGCTGTTTACTACTAAAAGAAGCTTTGCTTTTTCATAAAAGGAAAAAAAAATAAATATATTAGAGACTAAAGTGCTGCAGCCAGATTGTTCGAGGTTGGTTGGTTGTCCCATTAGTGGTTTTTTAACAAATATCCCTGAAGGTACAAGATACTAATTCACTATAAACTATGGAAGTAATTAAACACTTTGAGTAGATAGTGCTCTTTGTCTTTTTTTCAACTAAAACAGATTTTGATAGCTAGATGATTTAGACAGCAAAATTTAAAAAACTGCTACAGCGATGTGACAGTGTTTAGAAATATGCTGATATATAAGACTAGGTTTCTAAAATTCTCTTAAGAATATGCTTTAAGTGATCCTATTGAATTTTTATTGTCCCCTAACTCCATTTTAGCATTGAGGAGTAAATCATCCTCCTCACTATCCCTTCTCTGTCCAGGGAACATCATGACTGAGAGTTCATCAAAACAGCTATGATCAAAGTGTTAAATTATAGTGTGATAACAAAAACAACAGGGAAAGCCTCAAACGTCCTGTAAAACAGTGAAGAAATATGTAAACACTAAAAGAATTATTAAACAATTTGAGAATCAAGCAATGACACTGACACCAAGGCATTCCTGTGTTCTCCCAAAGATGGACTTTTTGCATACTGGCTGAGAGCAGGACAATCATCCTCCCAGTCAACATTACAAGGAGCAACTGGCAGTCTGAGGGCTCAGCTCTAGGTAAGTTAGAAAACTAACCTCTAAAATTTTAAAGGTAAATTTCATCTGATCCATTACCTTGATTACTACAGCAGTGTAATTCAACAGCAAAGAAAGAATTTTGAGCTTTAGACAAATCTTACTGCAATACCATACTGGAAAACTCAGTATCTGGCAAAATTCTATTACCAACTTGCTTTGAAGAACATAATCCAACATAAAGAGCAAATAGATCAGAAGACACATGTCAAAAGTCTGATTTTCATTTATTTCCACATTACATTAGCAACAGAATTTTTTGATTTTGTGGAAGTTTTTTTTGTGTTGTTCATTTGTTTGTTTTGTTAGGGTTTTTTTGGGTGGTTTTTTTTTTTAATTGCTATAATTTGGTTGTTGTTTTGTTTTCTTTTTTGTTGGATTTTTTTTTTTAAATTAGTTTCTGTTGAGTTTTTTTTTCTTAAGAATTCTAAAAAATTCTTTATTATGACAATCATGCAAAGCACACAGATGTGCCTGAAACTTGAAAGTCGGTAGGCTTGGAATCGCATCATGTTCTTGAAAGCATTCTGGAGTCCTTCATGAGTAAAATGTTGGAGTATGAGCACTGACATTAACATGACATGCAACACAAAATATTCCAGAATATAAAATCATCTAGAATGTTATCAACAGAAGAAGAAAAACACTTGAATTTTTAAAACAACATAATAAGAAAATTTTGTAAAAATCTCAAGTTTTTTTTTTATAAAGTGGGTTAGAAAATATTACACATTTTTTAATAGTGCTAGACTGGCCTAAGTTTCCTAAGTAAAGAATGCCTTCCAAAAACAGTTTAGAGTGAGAAGACACATATTGCATATTGAGATAGCTATCAATTTTAAGAGGTAGATGACAATATTAATCTATTATTTGGGGAAGATAGCCCTACAACTTTTATGTAAATAGCATTAAATATTATCTATACAGTATCCTGTATAGAATTATCTATACAATATCCATATGAAAGAGTGCAAAGAGAAGGAACATTGCCTCTCACCTAACAGCAACTATATTAATTTAATTCCTTGGTCTGCATCATCAGCTCTCCTGAAAATGCAGGTGGAGGGAAGAAAGGATTAGAAAGGCAAGGAAGAAAAAGTAAAATCAACCCTATTTGCATATGCTGGCAAACAATAGGGAGAACACACCGTCCAGACTGCAGTGAGAGTCACTGGGCTCACAGCACAATCCTCATGACAGCGTGACTAGATTGAGTGGAAACAGCAGAAGCTTGCACAGGCAGTCAGACTCACTGCCTAAGGTGTTCATGGAGGTGCTTCACTGCTGGAAAAGCATTTCTGTTCCTATTCACCATGTCCATCAGAATCTTGGTTACCATTAAGAGGAAAAAGAAGTAAGTAATAGCAGCACCGATGGAAAGGCTTTGTCACAGTGAGGATGAGAGTATGTTTTTAACTTGCCACCACCTGTAAAATGTTAGCTGTTACTAAAAGCATCCATCTCAGACAGTGTTAAAAGCACAGCTCAGTACAAAAATGGTATCACAATTTTTCTGTCCTTTGGGTAGTCTTCAAATTTCTCAAGGTACCATCTGTAAAACAAAGACAGAAATCTGATGAGTATAGAGTCTTCCAAATGCTGTTGAGGACATTAAGTGATTGTACAATGTGTTCAATTTAATCCATATATTTTCTGTCTACAAACAAAAAATATGCCTTTAGAACTACTCTGGATACAAAAATGGCATTTACTACACTCATCCTAACAACATCTAATAATCAACTACAACAAAACTAAGTTGTTCTGCCAGCAATGGGAAATCAAACCAACAGATGTGGTAAGAGCAGTCAGGGAAGGAATAACCTGTTCTTTAAAGATGTATGTTGTTACGCATCCTGAGTATTTGCATTTCAGAACTAGAGGGGGAAGAAATTAAACTAAAACCATGTAATTGCCTAATGACTTCACACAGAAGCACGGGTTACTTCACATAGTAATGATTCTGCATAGAAACATCTTCAGTTCCAAAGGATTTGGATAATCAAACAGAACATGAAAAACACTACACTAGCCTTACTGCTAATACCTTTCAAAGACATCAGTATTTTCAAATCCAGACAATTAACAAAGAAGAAATACATAGCACTATTAAATGTTATTATTTGTCTTTTCACCTTGGATAACAAACACATTTACTCCCATTTTCTTCTGCTCCTCTGAAATAAAAGAATTAACTTCACCTGGGCTTCTCAAAGGTGCAGATATTCATATTATCAATAGCTAACTCCAAGATCAAAGCTGGAATAAGCAATGCACAATAACCTGCAGCTGTGCAATACCATCATTACACTATTTTCCCGTTTCAGTAATTTATTCTAAGTTTTTTAAACTAAACAGACTGCACTAAAATGTTTCTTCACTTACATGATTTGTTATTTTTATTTGTTTGGGGTTTTCTTCTTGTATCCCTCTTTTGTTTTTATGCATCTTTCCATTACTGCAAATTACTTCCTTTAACAACATTTAGCTTTTCCTAATGGTCTGAAAGAGTGCCATCAAGGCTTAGGATTGATGCAAACGAACAATGGCATTTGAACCTGAAGAGCATAATATATAAAGACACACCGAGGAACCTGGCATTGCTTAGCCTGGCAAGGAGGAGACTAAGGGGCCCTGTTACTGCTACCTACAGGTGCTGCCTACAGATCAATAAGGAAAATCCTGTTTCGGCACTTTGCCAGAGATGTGCTGAAGCCTCCACCCTTGAAGACACTCAGAACTCAACTGGATGAGGCCCTAGGCAAAAGGGCAGTTGTAGGTCACACCAGCTGACTGGACAACCTTCAGATACTCCTCCTAACCCAAGATACTCTGCAACTCTACTCACTAACAGCAGGTGATAAAATAAGAAAAGATGTTCAATAGGTGACAGGTCAGGAAGGTTCAGGTTGGACAGTACAAAAAACTTTGTTAATTGGGAGGGTAATACAGACCTAGAACACCCTACAGACAAGGTGCAGGAAAACCCGTTTGTGGAAATTTTCAGGACTCCACTAGACATACCCATGGCTGCCCCCACAGATAGTCAGCAATGGCATTTTTTTCAACCTATTTCTCTTCATATATTCAGGCTTATTTCCTGTTATGCCACTAAGTTTCAGCATGAGAACCAAAGCAGGAAGCTGAGAATAACCAAAATAAGATTAACATGTTCAAATTCCTTTAAACATGCTATTCCTTAAAGAGAATCAAGAGACTACTGTCCACAAACTATGGTCCTTTAACAAGAAAGCTACATTATGAATACAGTACATTAGCAGTCAAATTCTTTAAATAGAGCAGAGACTTTACTACTGTGTACTAGAACTGTTTTCATATTGTCCATTCACTTGATTATAGACAATATGATAGAGACTTGGCTATAAAGCACGCCTACTAAAGACTACTTTAGAGTGATTTTCAAAATTTTAATATTGTAGAAACCAGTTCAAGCAGCAAGGGAAAATAGAGTATATGATTATTTAAGGCAATACTGCCAAACTTGTCCATAATTTTTACAGATTCAGGATGAACTACCTTCATTTAAACATTATTTTGACCACCTCCTTGTACATTGCGTGTGTTTATGCTCAGTACTATTCTGCTGAAATTCTGTAGTGCTTATTCTTCTCAGAGTATTCTCTATCATATTCTCCCCTACAGCAGCAGTCTCTTTCACAAGACTTGCTCTGCAACATTGCTATGGGATGAGGCATAATTTGTGAAATGTAAATGCAGTGTGGCAGAGACAACAGAAATTATAAGACAAAAACCACTTACTGATGGTGTTGCCTTGCCCTTGAACCCAAGATGAAAAGAGTACACAATGCAAATGCAAGGCTTTCAGTGGTGCCACAGGCAAGGGCAAACCCAAACCACTCCAGGATCTCTCCAAAAAAGTTGGCTCCACTGACATACTCAAACATTCCTCCTGAAAGAAGGAAAGAGTTATTTCAAAAGCACCTTAATCAATATGTCCAGTGCTATCTTTTACTGTACATCAAATAAGAGCTACATCACCAATGTCTCTATATAATTTTAAAGGCGGTGGAAGCAGTGTTTTTCAGTTCAAGCTGTGCTATGAAGGATCACTTCAGGCCTCTTTCTAAGACAGACCTTCTCCAGGTCCATTTTTCCTCTTTAAATAATGAAAGAAAAGCAGATTTACTAGTATCAGAAGCAAGTACATGCCTTTGTAAATAGTTACTTAACAATGACATCAAACTGTCTCTTTGATAGTACACTTTTTTTTAATATGTAAATATAGAGGACATGCTCCCCTTGAGTCTCAGAAAATACTCACAGGGTTAGTTAGCCTACAATGTTTCATTTCTTTAAGTACTTCAGAAATTAAATTAATTATGAACAATATTATTATTATTATGAAGTAAAGTCCAAATTTATTCTCTAGCTTAAAATGTGTTGCCCTTTTGTTCCCATTCCTCATGAGGTCTACTGCTTCAGCCCTGATACTCAGTGAAAAAAGTAATTAGCAGTCTGCATTAAATCTGTTGTACAGACAATTATGGATAAACAATTGGTACTCACCTATCAGGAATTTTATAAAATAAGAACTTTCACCCCAATTCCAAAGTCAGCATACAAATCGATAACATCTCAGTATGCATTTTACCAGAGGAACTAAACAAACAAGTATTTGGCAACTGTAATAAAGGACATGTTTTGACCTTGCTTTAATTGCTCTACCCTCTTAACAAAAGAGAGGTGAATTTTTAGCACTTAAACTGGATAAGCAACATCAAAAAGACCAGCTCCTCCTGATCTCACAGCAAATGACATCTTATTTACTTCAGAACTTTGTGCGCTGAACACAGTACAGTATGTTCATATTCATTTTTTACATGAGCACTTGGATAAACCCAGAGAAACAGAATTCAGAGATAGTATTATTTTTCTTCTCTCAGTGACTGTAATGTATCTGAAAGAGTCTAATGTTTCCAAAAGCATCAATAAACTTTAACACTTCAATAGGTTCCATAAGAAAAATCTTTCATATTCTCCATTTTCCCATGAAGGCCAGAATTCATAGTGCCCTACTTTGTTTGGATTTCTGTCCTCCTTTTACTGTGTCTCCCTTTCCACAGTAGTTGCTGCTCTCTGATTACCTAAGGTACCTCTCTGTTCACACATGGGACATTAGATGGGCCAGCCATTGAATACTTTCTGCATTTCGCTCCTGCCCCAACACTGGGTTGATAATTTAGGTCTTCTTTCTCCACCCTCCTGCTGATTCTCAGAAAAGTTGTGGAATGCTGCGAAATTTTCACCCCTTTTTAAAAATACAGCCAAAGTTAGTTAGTCCAAAGAGTTTCACAAGCCAAGTGATATCATGAAACAGACTCCTTACAATATTTGGCTTAAGAGGAAAAAAATAAAATGAGCCTCTTCTCCAGTCCCAGCTTTCTTTACCACTTTTCATATGAGAGATACTACTTTTGCCCTTTTAATCTCTGTACCATTTTTCACTTACCTCTTGGTATCTTGTAACCAGATTCCCCTGGTTTTCTCAGATTTCTGAGAATATGATCAGAATGAATATTAATTGCCATGCCGAGCAACCACCCTATAAAACCTGAAAAGAAATATTAAAAGTATATCTTTAGTACACTAAGTGAAAGCACCCTTTCAAAAAAACTACCATCATGTATCACGTTAGGCATATCAGCTTAAAGCAGTAGTAATGTAAGCAGTATAAACAACTCTGGTGACAGACTGAGCTTTTCAGTCAGCAGAGCTCACAGTAATCAAGAGCTCCCTAGACAGGAAATAGTACCACAAGTATGAAGCTTATCCTTATGTTTCTAGACTTATATAAATGTATGCACAGGCACATATGCAGATGTAATGTGTGTAATTCCCTAACTTCCACATAGAAAAACAAATACACTAAAATTTTAAACACTGAAAGAAACAGCCATTCTCATTCTTCTGAAAGGGACACATTTTAGCCCCACTCTCCTTTTCTATTTTTGCTGATAACATACCAGAATTTCCACAACAGAATTTTGTGCAACAAAAGGAATAAAATCATGAAGGAGTTAATGTACTATTTACTTGTGTCATTCAGCAAAATGGTTTAGCCATTTACACCAGGCTTTCATAGAAACAGAGACTGTTGTCACATTCTGCATCCTTATGTCTTGTTGCCGTAACTATGGGATAAATAAAAAGGAATTTAGGATTGAAATTCCTTATTTTCACCCTTTGGCAACATGTTAACTAGGGTATCTTCCTTTGAAGGCAGCCTTCCTTCCTAGTAGGAGCAGATTTGGGTTTTGAAGATAGATCCAGTGTTGTTTTGAAGCCATCTCCAAAGTTACCAGTTTTACTTAAATTACCAAGAATACACCAGTATTTTCTAGGACAAAGTCACTTCATGTGCCAGATAAAGAAACCTTTGCCTTTTTGCACCCATAACTTCAGTCTTTCAGGTGGCTCTTTTTCAATATAGAGAAATTCAGGAGCGTGATCATCTCAGCGAAAGCACTAACTGTATGTCCAAGTGTATAAGGCCACATTGCAAGACTGGTAGGTTGTCAGAGCACACTCCACCAAGACTTAAGCTACCTTTCTCAGTGAAGCTACAGCTGTCTGAGAAGCAAGGTCCACTTACAAGCTGTTAGGCAGTTTTCTTCTCTCAAGCCCTTGTGAGCTTAAAGGGCCTAGCTGTCTGCTTCCACATGTATTGGGAGGAAATGTCTGGTCTGTAAAAAAACTGAGGTGTCTGTGTGAAAGCTCTCTCCATTATTTACCCATGTAAATAAAAAAAGTTGTTTGATTAACTTGTTACTATCTGCTTACATTGTAAAACTAATAGCAGAGTTTAGTCCTGTGAATAAGCATGTTTGTTAACCTTTTCTTTATACAGCACAGCAAGTTTCTATTAGCAATCAAGGTGTGCAGATGCTATATGTAAAGTGCCTTTTGAACTAAAATTTTACTTATCAACTATATAATCAATGTAAATACATCATGACATAGATTAGATATACTATATTTTATTATCAGATATATTATAGTTTATACTATATATCTACAATACTATGATTTATTATATATTAGATATACTATAATTTTAGTGAATGTTTCCTGTGCATCTGCTTGTAAATTAGTATATGAACTCTTCTGATAATGCAGAAAGGCTGGAGTTTGCTTTAAAAATGTCAAATTACTAGAGAAGATGAGTTTGATCCTGCACATTTTTACCTCTCTGACTTGAAAACTGCAAAATGGCAGAAGGAAACAATCACATCTCTTTGTGGACAACAAACCGACAAATGTAGGCTATTTTCACAAAACACCTCTTCAATTTCAAGACCCCCTTTCCCCTAAGGCACTGCATAACCATGTTCTCTGCACCCATACTCTGTGGACAATCACTGAACATGCCAAGTTGGAAGGGACCCACAAGGATCATCAAGCTCAAATCTCAGCCCTGCACAGGACCATCCCCATGTGCCTGAGAGCATTGTCCAAATGCTTCTTGAGCTGTCAGGCTTGGCACTCCTCCCCTGTCCTAATCCTCAGATTCCCAGCACAGCAGAGTCCTAGGACTCTACAAAACCAAGAGCTGGTTCTGCCCCACAATTTGCATGACTTGGCTACCAGCACAGGGAAACATGGACACGTAAACAGGAAGGGAGCCACTGCACATTACATCAGATTTTCAGATCCACAGGATACACCACACAACACGGATGACCTCAAGAGACTATTAAGAGGCTTTTTCCTTCATAAGGATAAACCTGGAGATGAAGACTTGCGCACGTACTAGGTGAACACTTGCGTAAGGAGGACAGTAACTAGGTCTACACTAGCAGACAACCTGGTGCAACAGAAGAGCATTATGTGCTTGCTCACGTAGAATTTCACACAAAAAGACCTACTGTTGTGCTGCAGGCTATTCCAGAGTGACAGGAGGGTAACTGCTATCTGGCTCACCTTCCCTCTCCAAGTTTCAAGAATATGCAGTGGAAGATGCTGTGCAGACACATCAGGAGGCCAGTTTCTACAGCTGCACTGAGAACATCAAATAAACATTTCAGGTGAACCAGTGCCTCATCTCAGACTCTGTGGTTACTTTCCAACAGTGCACATGATCATCTAGAATATGCAAATGTCTGCAGATACTAGGAGAGATACAGGCTAATCTACATCCCCAGGCTATGAGATAATATCTAGACATCCCTCAACTACGTGATCATACCCAGATATGGACAATGCTCATGCGTTCTTCATGTCTGTTCTGTGAAAAGAGCAGAGGTGTGCAACCAAGCAACATGTGCTTGGTTGCCTGACTGCCAGACAAAAAGCTTCATGCAACAGGTGAGGTTCAGTCACCTGAACCTTCTGAGTTACAGGTGCTGCTCTGCTTTGTAGAGCAGCACTGAGGAAAGTTTTTGATGCACAGAAGGGTTAGCCATCAACATTCGACGTAGGTAGCTGAATGAGGTTTAAAGGAGTAAGAAAAGACACATGGCACATTGCGAAGAGTTTGAAGAAGCTAAAGCAAGTGAAGGAAGGAAGGAGTTTCCAACCAGAAGCACAGGCAGATTAGGAAAGAACATCAGGGTGAAGCACACAGGTGTATGTGTCCCTTTTTGCAGCATTCACTGCTTCAGGGTATCATGGGCTCTCTTGGTAAGTTCACAAGCTGTTTGTTGGCACACATGTGTAAGGTACATGCTGAAAGATTATGAAGTTGTTCCCACATAGGTTTGCAAACTCATGGTGCTGCATTTGAAGCAGAACATTCCCATTTCCTCTGAAAACAGCTGTGTTCACTGCTCTGAACCAAACCAAGACACAGTCCAGAGAAACCATGAGGGAATCACATCAAAATTACATTTCTGATCCAAATCAATTGCTGGTGTAGATATAAGCTATTGCATTTCCAGAGTTAACTCCTAAATGCCTGAAAACAGTCAAACTGTAATAAGGCTCCAGACAGAACACAACAGTTGTTTGAAACCCCTCACCATGATGGTTAATCAGCCTGACTTTTCCAAATTTCTGTCTTCACTGCAAATTTATCTCATTTCAGCTTCTGGCTGTTGAACCATGGTTGGCTGCTACTTTTAGACACTCTCATTTATCTTCCACATGTAACTCCATACAGCTTAAGAAATATCTTGCTAGCCCTCAGCAAATATGCTTTCTTGCTGTTGTTGTTTGCTAATATTCTAGTAACTTTTTCTAGTAATTTTAAACAGAGGCTTAAAACACTGCCAGATGTTTTTGAAAAACTAGAACATAATAGTCCGGTTGTTCAGGGAGTACAGCCACTTTGGCATTTGAGTTGACCAAAGCCACAAGCATAAACTGCAGATATTTGGAGGTACCCAGCTGGGATGAATACCAAATAGCAATTATAAATTGCTAAGATCCAATTATGTTGATGTGTACTACAAAACAACATTAAAAAAAATCCCAAAAGGTACTCTAGTTACAGGAATAAAATAAAAAACAAGTCTGCAGTTTGGCTGTTTCACAGCCATGCCAAATTGTATATAAAGATTTGTTGTACTAACACTCTCAAAAAAGTCAGCAGTAGTCATACCGTGAAAATGGTTGCTATGTATACCAGGAATCTTGGCTTTCTTAGCTTTTAGGATAACTTAGGGTTAGGATTGCTTTTTAAAGCAATAGTTTGAATTATAATAATCACAAAAGCAACACTTCATTTATGTTTAGCAGTACTAGGAATATATATAAGCATATATTCCAGACTAGTATTACCTGCACAAAAAGCAAACCACCAAAATAAAACCATAATAAAAAAACCCACAAATACAAATCAAACTAACTCATACACCGAAGTATATTCATAACTGAAGTCAGAGGAACCTAACTATTATCATTTATACATTTGCATCTTTCAGAAATCCTTGATAAACTAAAAAAAAAATAAACCAAGAAAACCTGAATAACAGTCTTATTAACTAGATTTTTTTTAAAAGATCTTTCAGTAAAGAAGAATTGATTTATGGCTTCTTAATCATAATTTGTTCCCAGTACTGTATTGAGATATCTTTTAATTAATGTACTAAACTAGGCATCAGAGCCTTCAACAGTTTTGATGAACAGATCTTTTAACCATTTTTTTTTCTGGATCCCAGTTTAAGGAGACTGGAAATTTGAAACTACCAAGAAAATTTCAAGTATATCCAAGTGCCTAGCACCCACTGAAGTCATTCCCTTGTACCTCAATTTCTCCATTTTTAGTGCACAAGCAGTACTGCCTCCTAATCTTGGCAAGAGAACCTCCTTTGATTTAAGTTTCTTCAATCTTATGATAGCATTTAGCACAGTGGTCCTCTACTGTTATCCACAATAACACTGTAATAAGGACAAAATCTTCTTTTTCTTGTTATGAAAGGCTTGAGAAATCCTGGAGAAACACTAACTTGCTCTGGCTACAGAATAAAAGCAAGAAGGGTACTTCTTCAGATCAAGGATCTACACAGCCCAGTTCTCCACCTTTGACTGATGAGGCAAAATATTCTGATCTATCTTCAGATGAAAGAGATCTTTTGGTAAAGATTTCATTAGAAAATGATACTATGATTTCGATGGTCAACAAAAGTAGATGCTTAGGAAACAAAAAAATACAGTGACAGTACTTTGTCACTAGGCATCTTAGCCCTTTCATCATATCCATGACTTCAACTATAAATAAATGTAACCTCCCTTCCGGATCAGGAGTGAATGATCAATCCCTCCACCCGGTTCCTTGTAAGCCAGTTTCATCCTTTGGCAAAGTTCACCCCTATTACAAGGGCGGGCGTGCCGATGCATGTGTATGTGTATCACTTGTAAATATCCTGACACCAAGGTCTTGTGGCGTTAGTGGTATCTCGGTAGTTAGCAATCACCCTCACTAGATTTTTACTCCATGAGTTTGTTTACTTCAGTTTGATCTACATGTTACATAGAAAACCTACTTTGTTTGTTCTAAACATGCATGCTGCTGGTTCCATGTGAGGCTTCAAGTTTCTACATTGAAAAAAATACATAACAATATTTATTTTGGTGTTAAAGAGTAAAGATGACAGTCAGCTCACCTAGCACTGATATTGTGGAAAGAAATGTCAGTTCATAGTTCTAAAGTAAAAAAAAGTTAAAGGCTTCCAGATACACCAATAAGAGAAATACCTATGAGAATACTTACAAAATGGCATTGAAGATACAATAAAATTACAATTAAAAGCTGCGAAGACAAAAGAAAATTACACCTTAAGTTTTCATAACATTATGTGACTCACCTGTAATGAAGCATGGATCTTTCAACCAGCCCGGAGGGTAAGTTGCATAGTTGCTTAAGCTTCGGCCCTGCAAGTATCCATTGAAAACGCAGAACAGAAGTGCTAACACAAAAGTGACAAATGGTGTTGGTTTTCCTTCACGGATAAGAAGAGGAAATATGAGTGCCCTATAGCAAATAAGGAACAAAAATTTATTATATTAACAAACCAAAGAGAGAGTTTTGAAGTCCAAAAACTGTAATCCATAGACCACGCTATCCTACTTTTCAAATTCTCAGCATTAGAGGCTTTGGTCCCTGTTCTAAAGGACAGTTGCACTTGCTTTACCACCTAAACATTCATTTTGTTGCCTAACTGGAATTACAAGATGAGACTTCTCTCTCTGTATGACAGAAATTTTGAACTTTGTATCCAAGGCAATTACTTTGATGAGAGGAGTAAAGGTAACTGATGTTAAGCGCAGCCTATTTTTATCCTCCTTTGTTCCTAAATCCTTAGTAGTATCATCAAGCTTTCTGAAATGAGCCAAGTCTCACAATCCCTACACCAAATCCCCCAGCACTTCTAGGGGGGGAAAAGGCAATGCCCTTAAAATTAATCTAATTGAGCTCAGTTTCCTCCCTACCTTAAAAGTCACTTTAAAACCCTAATTGCTTCACCTCTTCGATTTTGGTCTACCCTATGATGCCTGCTAAACACATGACGAACCCACAATTGCCATCCCATCTGGGAAAGGAATCTTGACTGCTTTTCCTGGGGGATTATGGGAATAAACCAACAAGCTCTAAACAAGATCAGGTGAACGTGAATGTTCTTGTGATCTTTCTGGTGCAACTAGCCAACTCCCAATTGCCTATTGATTTAATTACAATCTGTAGTGAAACAGGATGAGGATTGCTGAAGCCTGAGTATTTTTCACGTGTTTTCCATCTACCTAAGGACTAGTGCTTCAAAGTAGTCTTTCCCAAGGAAGCACAACCATAACAGCTTTCAAGAAAAAGTAACAAATTCATTAATAGGATTATTTAAAGCATGCTACATTACAAGAAAAGGAACTGGATAATAGAGGTCTCTTCCAGTCTACATTCACTTACAGAAGAGTCCCTTATTCTGTCAATCGCAACAAGCAACTGGAAAAAACAAACTGCAGCACAGCACAGCTTGCTCTACAAACCTTTGTCTCATGTTCCTAGCTATTTCCAGACATCGAGGATGAGTTAAGACCCCATGCGAAAGCTATTATCTTTACTCTTAACAGAAAAAGGAGCAAAGACACAGTCCTGGGTTTTCAAAACCAGCCACCAGGCCAACCACATTGCATCCTTATCCATTGGGAGGATGTGGAATACTTTCAGTCAAAAGCACCAGCCTCTCTCATTCAGCACAGGAAAACAACAGTGTATCAGCCACATATGGAGCTTAACATGACCTGACAAATCTATTGCTCCTGTATTAGTGATGTTGCAAAATTGCTCGTGGAGTATGACCAGTAGACACTATCCGTAACTTGAAGAAAACAGCAAAATCTTACCTGAGCTCCAGCTAAGCTGCCTTCTCCAAGAAGTTTTACTAAATACCCAAGTTGACTACAGGGCAATATGGAGCACTCGGCCTCAGATTTGCTAGTATTTTAATGAATCATTGAATATACTGAGCTGGAGATAACCCTCATCCAGTCCAACTCCTTCAACGAACACTATGTTGAAAGACCGTGTTAAGAAACATAACTGAAAATAGCCACTGTTCCACAGCATTAGAATTATATTAGTACAGAGTGCTGAACTTCCCTTGTTTTCAACACTAGGCCCCTTCAGGCAGCCTGATCAAGCCCTTGCTGACACGGGGGTCGCCACCCGAGGTACAGCTGCAGCGCAGGGATGGAGCAGCAGCCGAGGGAGCATCGAACACCGCGTTTGCACGCCCGAGCACCGCCCCGCACAGCGCAGCGACACACGGCAGCCGGCACCGCTCCGCCACGGCTCCGCGCCCAGCTCCCGCAACGACGCACAACATCCTAACGCGGCGAAGCCCGAAAGACTTGAGCGATTATGATATTAAATAACAAGAGCTAATTAACTGGAGCACCTCAACCCCTTCGGTCTGGAGGCAGCAGCCAGGCGTTTCTATGAAGACTGACCCCTTCTCCCGCCCCGGCAGCACTGCCAAGGAGCCCCCCCCACCCCAGACGCCCCGGCAATGCCCCCGCCCCGCCCGCACCTGTGCGCGTAGTGCAGGACGAAGCAGCCCAGCAGGACACGGTTAGCCAGGGCGGCGATGGCCTCCCCACCGCAGGCGGCGAGCCCGATCGGAACGAGGAGGGAGGGCAGCTCCTGCAGCGCCCAGGCAGCGCGGGCGGGCAGCAGCGAGCCGAAGCGCCGCGTGGAGTACCGGCCGTAGGGCATAGGGATGAAGCAGAGCAGCAGGGCGGAGCCGGCACCCAGCGCCATCAGCCCGTAGGAGAAGAGCTCCAGCAGCCGCCGCTCCTCGGGGCCCTCCACCCTTTTCCAGAAGCCGCAAACACCATGGCAGCCCGCGCACTCCGCCATCACCAACTCCAGCGACACCGAGCCCCATCGCCCCCCGCCGCCCCTACTCATCACCCGCCCGGCGTCCCGCCCACCGGCCACCACGGACCAATCGGCGCGGGGGGGGGCGTGGCCAGAGTCACCCGCCCGTTGGTGGGCGGGGCGGGGGTGGGGCGCGCGCTCGGGTTCTCGGGAAGTTCCGCCGGGAAGGGGCTCCGGGAAAGAGTGGGCGTGTCCGCGCCTGCGCCCCGGTGGCGGGAGCACGCGGCGCGCGGCAGCTGCGCGGTCCCTCCGGCCCAACGGGAGCGGAGCGGGAGCGGCCGTGGCCGTGGCCGTGGCCGTGGCCGTGGCCGTGGCCGTGGACACCCTTCCTTTCCCACGGCAGGGCTGGTGTTGCGGCTCGGCCGCCGCCTGGCCGCCATGGGCCGGCGAGCGCGGGACCGCCGGCGGCAGCAGCAGCAGCAGCGGCAGGAGCGGGGCGGCGGCGGCACCGGGGACCAGGCGGTGAGAGCCGGGCCGAGGCGGGGCGGGGTGAACGGGGAGCGGCGGGACCGGCGGGGTAACGGCGGCGGCGTGTTCCTTCAGGGCTGGACCGGCGGCTACCCCGAGATCGTGAAGGAGAACGAGCTGTTCGAGCGGTACTACCAGGAGCTGGGCATCGTGCCCGCCGGCGAGTGGGACGCGTTCATGGCGGCGCTGCGGGAGCCGCTGCCCGCCACGCTGCGCATCACGGGCTACCGCAGGTAGGGCTGGGGCTGCTGCCCTGGGGACCTGCCCCGGGCACCGCGGGGGCGGGATGCTGTCCGGGAGAAGGGGTGCCTGAGCCAGCTGCTCCGCTGGGACGCGTCCCTGCCCGCCGCAGGGGGGCTGGAACTAGGTGATCCTTAGGGTCCCTTCCAATGTAAACCATCCCGTGGTTCTGTGGTTCTCCATCCGGTGTCCCTCTGCACGTCTGTCGCACGCAGCCATGCCAAAGAGATTCTCCACTGCTTGAAGGAAAAATACTTCAGGGAGCTGCAGAACCTGGAGGTGGATGGTCAAAAAGTCGAGATGCCACAGTCACTGAGCTGGTGAGTGGTCTGGAGGCGAGTTAAGGCACCCTTCCTGACATCCAGCCTGGTGTGTTGCTCTTTTTATTCTGTTTCTGCCCTTTTCCCGTCTGTTCTCCATCAGGTATCCAGAAGAGTTAGCCTGGCACACTAACTTGAGTAGAAAAATCTTACGCAAGTCCCCACAACTGGAAAAGTTTCATCAATTTCTGGTTAGCGAGACAGAGTGTGTAAGTTTCGGATAGATCTTGATTTTTTTCTTTCATTCCTGAGCAGTGCTTTATTGAAATACATTATGAGAGAGTGAGACTTTACCTTTTCTCTCAAAAGTTGAGTAACTCAGAAGAATCTGGATTTTATGTTGCTGTTGACTGTGATTCATCCCACAACTCTGGTGCATAACCGCAGCTACACATACTTTTCCTAAACTAATTGCAGTTTTTTTGTGGTTGTTTGATGATGCTAAAACGAGTCCCTGTAAAATAATTAGTTACTGTTAGAAACCAGATGTTTAAATCTGGTAAAAAGTGCATATGTGTGCATGACGAGACTTAGCTTAAGCGATGGGAGTTTGTCACTTGGTTGAAGCCAGTTTCTCATCTGAGCAGAAACTACATCTGTAGAATTAATACAATTAATGCAATTATCAGAAAATACACTTGTGTGAGTACTGTGATTGCTTTTTTTGTTAAATTCTAACAAAATTTAAACCTAGATTTATAGTAGTGTGTTTCTGACTGCTTTCTTATTTTGCTACATAGTGATTTAAAAATTTTATTGCAAAAGAAATGCATTGTTTTGTGAATAAAACCAAATTTAATTTCTTTTTTCCTTTCAAGGGAAATATCAGTCGTCAGGAGGCTGTTAGTATGATCCCACCTCTGCTGCTTAACGTTAGCCCTCATCATAAGGTAACTAGAATATAATGTGTACTAAAGCTTTTTCCCTGAAGTTAGTTTGATTAAACTACACATCACAACAGCAGTATCAGTGCTGATACACAGTTCTGTTTTGTGTTGGTGTGTTTTAGGCTTTCTGCACATCAACAGCAACACTCAACTAGTGTTCATATCACAAACACAGAGAACATCTACTTTTTCAGCTGTATGTACTACCCTGTAAGAAACACTTAGGTTTTAAGTAGTTACATAGTCTTTTATTTTCAAAGTGTAAATGTGTTCAGCTGCATTTGAGTTACATATTCATGTTTCAACGTGCTTTTAAAGTTAGACGACTGTTTTTAGCTTCCTGCTCTCCATCACACTGTGAACCAGGTGTAATTTTCCAGATTCAAATGATAATGTTCTCTACCAGATAGATTTCACTCCTCTGTGCCTTTTGAAGAAGTTGCAAATTTCTGCTCTATAAATGTGTTAGGCAAAATAATTTGGGTGAATTGAAACAGTACTGGTGATGACTGAACACTATAGGGTGCTAACTTTAACGGAGGTGTATGAGGAATACCCGTGATATTTTCCGATAGCAGACTGTAGGAACGGGGATATCCGATAGCAAACTTTCTATTCTAACTTCTGTGATGTTTTCATACTTTATGCTTGCTTGCAGACTAAATGTGTCAGGTGGCCTTATTCTCTTGATCTCTTAAATTAGTGAGCTAGTTGCCTTGTTACCTTAAGAAGTCATGTTGTGTTCTTTCTTAAATTTTCATGACGTATCTTAAAATTTTAGGTTTTTCAAACTTCTGACATGTTTTAAAGCCTAGTTTGTAACTACTTGGTTTTATATTAACATTACCTAGCATACGTAATGTTTCATCTTATCTTCTCCTGCTTTCACCCCAACCTAATGTATGTCACAGGACTGATATGAGTCAAAATCTTCTCATCTCTCTTAAGTGAATAATGAATTGAAAGACTCAGTCCTGTTGTGTCACAGCTACATTTTCAGTTTTTTCTGGAGTTGAACAGGTAGTGAACATGTTCAACTTAATGTAAAACACAAACTGTGGGAGTATTTTTGCACACACATTGTGTATGCTAAGCTAGCAGTATATGGGTTTTACATTGAATATTTAACTTGGGTGACTCTATTTCAGCAGGCATTTTCTAGAAGTGAGTGTAAGATTTCACAGATTCGCTCATAAATCAGACTTAGAATAGATTCTTTATCCTGTCTTGTCCCAAGACAGCAAATAACTGCTGTAACAATGAGAGCAACTCTTGTCATTTAGGACTTTTTCTGGTCCTTTGTGTCTTAACTTCTGAGCTGCTTATTATGACCAGAACTGCAGGTTACTTTTCATGCTTAACCAATAAGTTCTGTACATCATGTCTTACGTGCTGATTCCATGTTGTACAAGGATCAACTTAGTGACTGTCAAACCTCTCCGTATCTGTGTTCATTTTAAATCTGTTTTTCACAATTTACTTTTCCTCACCATCATTTTGGTGGCAAGTTTTAGAGCACATTTATCCTTGTATGTTCTTCATTATCTTTTCATATTACCTGCAAAACTAGAAAACAATAGCATCACAACTGTTACTTTAAAGAGCACGTATGATGTCGTTGTACTGAGTGTGTTTCATGATGTGTTAGCACTTTACCATGTGCTCTCTGGAGCTCTCTTTGCTTTTCTCTGGGGGCTGTCTTCTAGTTTAGTCTTGTTCATGCCAGGGTCTTGCATGAGGATCTGAGCAGATCCCATCCTTTATCCTGTTGCATGATTTCATCTAACTTTTAACAGAGCCAAAGATCCAGGAGATAGACATGTGCTTCTGAAAATCTATAACTAGGCAAGAGGAAAGACTCTAAGCTTCCTTACTTAAGAGAACAGTATTAAATATCAATTGATTTGCTGTGAAAGCGACTACAAATGACTTGATCACAAGCCAAGTTCCTGATGAACCAGGAAGGAGAAATACACTAGAATTTAGGTGTTCATGTCTGTTGATGTTGGTGGTGTTCTGTTCAGCTGCCTCAGGGCAGTTAAAAAACTTCCCAAACACTTCTTCAAGAAAGAGAAACAAGAGATTTATGCTGCCTTGATTTTTTGCATTAAAATGCAAATGTGTGGGGAGGGATAGCAACTAATTTTTATAAAATCTATATAATCAACTATCTCTGATTGATTTACTAATAGTTTAAAAAAGAGTACTACTTGCTCTTGATTGTGACTTTGCTCTTAATATGTGTGTGTATATGTAAAGTGCCAGTTAACTTCAATTGGAATTGCTAGTAAAAGGACCATACCCCTATATCTGTGTTCAGGTACCTCTTTCAAATTCTATTTCATCTGATGTATTTGTTCCCTACAATGTAATGTCCTTTTTATATTTTAGACTCTCAAAGGTAAAGCATACAAAGATCAGGACTGTACTTAGTTTTTTTTCAAATTGGTGTTCAGAACAGTCAATTCTCTATGTGCAAAAATACTTAGTTTAAACAAGAACACATAGTAAATTTCTTGAGTACTTGAAAAATACAAAACAGGACTTTTTTTAACTTTCTGGTGTTTGTAGATTCTAGATATGTGTGCTGCACCTGGATCTAAGACGGCACAACTCATTGAAATGTTGCATGCAGACATGAATGTTCCTTTTCCCAGTAAGTCTGGAAAACTACTAAAAACTTCTGTGACGTGGAATTTCTGCTTTTTCTTGTAGAAGATAAAGGTTCCCCACCTTTGCTTTGAAACTTCATGGGCTTCCTTGACGTGAAGGAGAGAGATGAGTTATATATGTGTATATATATATATATATCTTTGGAGTTCAGAGTACAGCACCTGTGATTAGAGCTTAATTCTTGTATATAAATGAGATCTTCCTAGTAGATGATGGCCCATGAGCCCCTGTGGTTTAGCGATATTCTGCAAACACTGGATTAAGCTGTTTTAGACTTAAAAGTAGTTGTGATATTTATCTTCTTTGTAAGTTTCAGAATCTTTACTCTTGGTTAGATACTCACAGAAAATACTGTCCACTCAAATGTAAAGTTGTGGGAGTGTGTGGATTCTTTCTGCATTCTACTGAAACTTTACTGCTGTAGAGATTGGTGTTAGTGGGGGTTTTCT